GTTTTCTCATTAACCCGTCTGGCTTGCTCCAGATGGCCCCTTGTGATAAGGTGTGGTTCCTGCTTCTCCGCGCTGCGAGAGAGACAAAGGTGGTCGGGGTTGCTTGGGATATTGTTTAAACTCTTTCGTAAGTTTGCCCGTTCGCCTCATTCCTTCTCGATAACCTTTGATGTGACTCGGTATTTCTGTCTCCAAGCTTTGTTTAACAGTAACAAGTATTAAAGGTGAAAATCATTTGATAGCGAATTAATTATTGGATAATAATTCACTGATGTATCTGGTGGCCTGGTCTTAATTGGAGTGAGCGCGAGGACCGCTAACTTTAGCTTATTCTTGTTATTGCATTTTAAATTTTAACCGTTGTTTTAATGACAAAGGAAAAAAATATATATATGGTTTAACACGTGGGCGTCCTCATGTCTGGCTTGCGGAGGGCTTCCCTCTGCGTGACCTCCCTTAGGGCACATCAACCACTTGTTCATCTGGAGATCTTCGCCGATAGCTGTTACATCCTCGCCTTGAGAGGTTTTTTATTTCTTTATTTATTTATGGCCTGTTTATGATCTCCATCTGTGTTTGAGTGTTTTGGGTTTGTGTGTTTTATGCATTATTTCTCTTTATTGTTGAAATTTTTTTTAATATATATCGGCAGATGTTATTGTTAATATAAATTTTGGAAAAAGGCTTATATATCCAACACCTCGCCCGGACCAACCCTACTGCGGTGGAGCCTTCTGCTCCTCAGCGCCTCTCCTGCTGCCCGGCATGCTGACTGGGGTGGAGCAGGATGCCACTCTCATCGACGGACCAGCGTAATGGACTCGTTCCAGCATATTCTTAGCTCTTTCGGTAAAGTCACATTGAAGGGAAACAATAAAATAATAAAATATATCTAAAAAAATAAAAATTCTCATGACGTTTCGACCATAACACAAACGGTCGTCATCGTTCCAGCATGTTGCGATTTCGTTGAAATCGGCCATGTGTTGTTCTTACCTCCTTATGTTACTGGATTCGTCCCTTAATTTTTTGTTCCCTTTTTTGTTCTTTCGGTAAAGTCACTTAGGTATAAAATAAAATAAATAAGGACGTTTCCGGTGCAAAACAAGCGTCCGTCATTAGGTGGAAAAGCATGGTCTGCTGCTGAGGCAGACTGTTTTGGGTGACGGAATTAACTTATGCGTCTCAACAACCTGAGCAGGGATTCCTGCTTCAGCAATCTTGCTGGGAAACATTTGTCTGGTGGCCTTTGAGATTATGAACCCCAGAACATGATGTTGTTCATGTTTGTGGTGCTGGTGATGAAACAGACCTTTGTCTGGAAGTCAACGTGTGTGTTGGGGATGTGATTTAAAATAGCCCATGGACTGTTCATCAGAATGTCTACACGTGTAGCCAAAGGGCCATAAAGAAGTGGCCGGGGCTAGTGCCTTTGGATTTCACTCTCATGCTCATATGTCCTCTGGATTGCACTCTCATACTCACATGTCCTTTGGATTGCACTCTCATGCTCACATGTCCTTTGCATTGCACCCGTTGTGTTGCACTCCCTTGTCGAGGAGGCCGCTCTCCTCCTTTTCTACAGTTACATGCTAATTTCTCACGTTAACATCATGCTAATCTCTCACTTTAGCATGTAACTTTAAGATAGGAGGAGAGCAGCCTCCTCGTCGAGGGCATGGGAGTGGCTATGTTAAAGTGAGAGATTAGCATGATGTTAACGTGAGAAATTAGCATGTAACTGTAGAAAAGGAGGAGAGCGGCCTCCTCGACAAGGGAGTGCAACACAACGGGTGCAATGCAAAGGACATGTGAGCATGAGAGTGCAATCCAGAGGACATATGAGCATGAGAGTGAAATCCAAAGGCATGAGAGTGCAATGCAATGGACATGTGAGCATGAGAGATCTAAGAGTGAGGCATAGAGAGAGAGAGAGACACAGATAGTCTGAAATAACAGCTGACAGGCAGGTAGGATGGAAACATCACAGTCAGTTAAGACTTTACCTAGTCAATATCGTTCTTCCAATGATTGTTCAGTTTGTACCCATCTTCTCGGTTGACGTTGTGTCTGTGTTTATATATCTGGATGGCTTCATGAACAAATCTCTGAAGGTAGCTGGTAGGTTTGCAGAGTACCTTCATCTTGGAAAAATCTATTTCGTGTGAGCCCACAGCATTAAAACAATGATCGGCAATGGCAGAGGGATTGGTCCTACCATATTTCAGATCAGCCTTGTGTTCACGAACGTGGTCTGAGACATGTTTCATTTCTCCAATGTAACTGCTGCCGCAATCACAACTCAGTTTGTAGACACTAGGGTATTGCATGTCAGGAATCACATCCTTTACATATGGGATTAAATAACGGATTTTGTGTACTGTGTTGAAACGAACCTGGATCTCGTGTTTGTTTAAGATTTTGGAAATCTTTTTGGTAACCCCTGCTATGTACGGTCAAGTGATGGTTTTGGTTGGATCCTCAGAAGGTTGTCTCCGCATTGCTGAGAGACAGCTTAGCGGATTGTACGGTCCGAGTATCCGTTCATCCTGAGGGCTTGGTGTACGTGCTACATCTCACTGGCTAGGTGGTGCTGGTCGGAGATGCAATGGGCCCTATGGTGTAGTGTTTTGATGAGGGAATTATTCTGGGCTGGATGGTGGTGGGAGTCAGGCTTTAGATAGGCATCCGTGTGGATGGCTTTCCTGTAGACCGAATGTCCCAACGAGCCATCCAGGAATGGTAGCTTGCCATCCTTTCCAGTTAAATGGTGAATTTGATAGACGGGTGTATGAAATTGATGTTGAGAAATTGGTTCAATGCTGGCAGGCCATGTGGCCAGATGACGAACGTGTCATCCATGTCTCTCTTCCACAAAGAAGGACGTAGGGTGGATGTCTGGATGGCATCTGTCTCAAATTTCTCCATGAAAACATTTGCTACCACTGGCGATAAGGGAGAACCCATTCGGGGTACCCTCATTTTGTTTGTAGAATGTTCCATTCCAGGTGAATTATGTGTTGGTAAGACAGTGCCTTACCAAAGTTGGTACATCTGGATTCAGTCCTTGTTGGACCAAGTTTTCAATCATTGCAATGGTGAACAGAGTAGGCTACATCAAAACTGACAAGAAAATCATCCGGAGACAGTGAGATGTCCTTGATTAGAGAAACCAAGTGAGCTGAGTTAAGTACAGCTGAGGTGGACTTGCCCGTGAGAGGAAGCAGGATCTCAGACAGAAATCGGGCCAGTTTTTAGATGGGTGAGTTAATAGTGGAGACGATAGGATGGAGCGGGGTACCTACTTTGTGGATTTTTGGAAGGCTATTGTTATGGGTTGCACATCATTATGGGCTTCTCATCCTTCTTGGGTGCCACCTCTCTGAACGCACACCACGAGTTCTCCCGTGTTCCTGTCTCTTCGTTACTTATATCTTTAGCCAGGATGGCTAGTCTTTTTATTATGGGGGGGGGGGGGGGGTGATGTAATGAGAGAGTGCCAACCAGTGGGGGCCAGAAGGTAACTTGGTACAGGCACTATTATGTAATCACCATCCAATCCTAAGAGGGAACAATATCTGGGCCAAAGGTGACGGGCGGAGTCGGGAGAGATGCTTCGGGAACCATCGGGAAGGTTCCACGAGGGGGCGTGGCCAGAGGCAGAGCCTGGCTCCGCTGGGGAGAATATAAGCAGGGGCAGGGGAGGACTCGTGATCGGTGTGGGAAGCCTTGGGTCTGGACTGTGTCGCTGCTCGTCATCTCCTCTCACCGACCACTTGGCGGATCCCCCAGCAGAGCTCGCCTCTCCTCTCCAGCACACCACCAACCAACGGCGAGACCGGGAGAGCGGGGCAAACTCCGCTAGCGGATCAGAGAGAGATGCCTCGTCCACGGCATCGTGAAGATGGAAATTTTCCGGAGAAGGAAGGAGCGGAGCTGTGCAGTACTACAGTTGAATAAAGAAGCACCCCTTACAAGAACCATCGTGGAATGCATTTATTACACTAGCAACGACTGCATAAAGAATCCAACATTTTTACAGAATAAACGATCAAGTATAGTGTATCCTTTAGTTTAAATCTGAAATTACATTACACAACAGATGAGCTCAACTGTTGTACAATACAAGTATTGCTCGTGCAGCAGGGCTGAGGCTGCAGGGGCCTCATCTCTCTCTCTCTCTTGCCGATTCTCAGCTGCACACCGCTATGTACAGGAGGAATCTGCAGTGTTCTTGTGTAAGGGTGACCGGGAAGTACCGTTACCCTTTCACTATAACACATCCTGTACCTATTCTGTACGTGTAGGGAACAGCACGGGGTCTATAAGTGCTCCTAGGAACTCCACAGCAGTGTTGACGAGTAGTGGGAATCGGGTGACGAGACAAAGGTGGTTCTCTTAATGAGCATCACCACTCAGCTGGTTTCCGTTATCACAGCTCTCTCTGTATACGTGTCTTGTATTGTCTGTGGATTCTCATTGTAGTCGAGCTAACTCGTGATCTCATGGAGGTGGCAGTAGCTCCTCTGATAACCAGAGCTCGTGTCTCCGCGGCCGCACGGCTGTGCTGCAGACTGCGAGTGTGGTCCCGCGTACACATGCGGGGCCGGGCGGTGCCGCACTCACGGCGCTCGCTCCACACGGCGACGCTCGAGCAGCATCCCGCTTGGGCCATCACCTCGTTAGAATCAGTAACGAGTACCACCTCGTGGGAAGTCCACAGTGGTTGTTTTATCGGTCTCCACCGTAGAAATGTGGAATTTCCCCCACTGATTCAGAGCCAGCAGTGGATATAAGCGCCGCTCCACACGGTTGACCTGCAGAGGCTTCAGTGTCATCTAAATAGCGCAATGCAAGATTCAAAAATTACGTGCCACAAACACGACCACAACAATGTTTGTGCTCTTGGTAGAACCGTTAACAGGTTGAAACGTGTTAAGATGCCCGCATGAAGGCAGTGTTTTCAAATATTGAGTGCTCCTTGTGCCTGCTGCCTGCAGATGAGCTTGGGCAGTTCAAACGGCTGGAATGCAATGGCTGTGGAGAAGATCTGCCCTACGACTACCTCTCCATCATGCACTACGGCAGGTGGGCCTCCACAGACTATGGCCTTCACTCATGGCAACGCTTCACCCGTTGTTACACACAAGCATCGTGCGCTCTCTTGGAGGATTGTCAATAATAAAATAATAAACATACAGGCATCTGTTTCGAGGCCACGCACGTAAATAGACTCGACATTAAGAGAAAGCAAATAAAACGTGCTTTGGGTGACGGAATTAACTTATGAGTCTCAACAAGTAAAACCTGCGCTGGGTTTCCTGCTTCAGCAATCCTGCTGGGAAACATTTGTCTGGTGGCCTTTGAGATGATGACCCCCAGAACATGATGTAGTTCATGTTTGTGGTGCTGGTGATGAAACAGACCCTTGTCTGGAAGTCATCGTGTGTGTTGGGGATGTGATTTAAAATAGCCCATGGACTTTTTTCGATTTAAAGCTTTCGTGAGGATTCATCTTCTTTGGTTTTTATACTAGGTGCCTCTGTGGATGTGTAGGCTTTGACTTTACCATAGCCATTTCTGTGACCAGTCACAAGCTAATCACTCAGCAATTTCAATGCTAAATTATCCTGTTTTATTTGTACTAGGTGCCTCTGTAGATGTGTAGGCTTTGTCTTTAACATAACTATTTCTATGACCAGTCACAAGCTAATCCCTCAGTTATTTCAATGCTAAATTATCCTGTTTGATTTGTACTAGGTGCCTCTGTGGATGTGTAGGCTTTGACTTTAACATAGCCATTTCTGTGACCAGTCACAAGCTAATCACTCAGCTATTCCAATGCTAAATTCTCCTGTTTGATTTGTACTAGGTGCCTATGTGGATGTGTATGCTTTGACTTTAACATAACTATTTCTATGACCAGTCACAAGCTAATCCCTCAGTTATTTCAATGCTAAATTCTCCTGTTTGATTTGTACTAGGTGCCTCTGTGGATGTGTAGGCTTTGACTTTAACATAGCCATTTCTGTGACCAGTCACAAGCTAATCACTCAGCTATTTCAATGCTAAATTCTATGCTAATTCCTTTGTCAAGGCGCTCTGTTTCTTCTCACACAGCTTAAAGGTCGCGGTCTGAGCTTGGCTGTGTTCGCTCCAGCGCTGTCCTCCAGTCTCGTCCCTTCACCTGATGAAGGCCGCTTGTGTTGTGGCCGAAACGTCGTGAGAATTTTATTGTGTTATTTTATTTTATCAATTTATTATTTTATTCTCATTCTACGTGACTTTACCGAAAGAACCAAAGAAGATGAAGCCCATGGACTGTTCATCAGAATGTCTACACATTAAGTACAGTGTAGGAATTGCATCGCCTAAGCTGCCAGGAAAGAACATTTAATGAAAAAAATGAATGCACCAAACATTACCCAACATAAAATAATAATGAAGTATTGATTTATGTTAGTACAGCACTTCTAAATTCTGTTTCGACTCCGAGATAACCATTGTTAGGGGTCTCATCACCAATGATGTCTCCGCTGTGCTGAGAGTCGCGTCACGAGACTAACAAATGAGCACGGCGCTCCTTCAGTCTGCAGAGCACCGCACGGTGTGCACGGTCTCCCTCATCACAGAGAACACCGCTCAGTGTGCACGGTCTCCCTCGTCACAGAGAACACCGCTCGGTGTGCACGGTCTCCCTCGTCACAGAGATCACCGCTCAGTGTGCACGGTCTCCCTTGGCACAGAGAGCGGCGCCGCTCGGCTACTTGTGGAGTCGTTTGACCCGCAGAGCTCTCCCTTGGCACGGCACGGCCCTCGTTGTGCAGAGAGCGCTGGGCACCTCTCACTTATCTCATGTGCTGGGCGCCTCTCATTGCTAGGTAAAAGTAACTCAATATTCTATTGTTAGATTAAATTATGTAACTTTTATTTTGTACTTTGTTTTTTTTGGTGAACAAGCTGTAAACATTTAATAGGCTAGCCTTAAGAACTTGGTTTTTATCACAGGTTACTCTGGATGGTTCTTCTTCATGCTTGGGAGAGAAAGCTTTCCTATGTCTCAGTTTTCAGAGGGTTTTACCCCTTAGAGCTGGGCTCGGCCCAATTTTATTGTGAAACAGCTGTGCCCATTCGCATGCTAAACTAGAGAACCACCAAGCAACAGAAAGGATGCCTCTGTTTATTGCCATGCTTCACATTTTCGTAGGGGTAGACAACATTCAAAACAAACCAACCCTGATGCCATTCATTGCTGTTTCACTGTTTGAGGTCGTGTCTATTTTAGAGTGCATGCGCATTATCGAGTAGCTGAATGCACGATAGCTACATGAGTACTAACCCTGAATACATGAAATCATGCATGCACATAGATACTGTAGACCTCTCTCTATGGCAGGGAGCAATTGAGTGTGTGAAAGGTGGTGGCATGGGTAATACAGCTGTGTCCCAGGGTACATTGGTGTACACGTGACAGACTCTAACGCGGCAGCCTCTTGTTTGCCACTAACGTACACTTGGCTTACGATCTGTACACTTCACCTCAATTGGTCATCATCTGTTCTGAGGAAGGAATTGATTACACATCTAATAAAGTAACCGGTAAAAGATTTAGAGCAGTAACCATTCACTCGAGTCCAGTGTGTAACGCGCTGATCTCCCCTCCAGGTATGCCTCCTCCTCGGACTACATGAGTGAGACGATCACCCCCACGACAGCAGCTAAAGCTCCCATCGGCCAGAGGAGCGGCCTCAGCCCCCTGGACGCGCTCAGGGTGCAGCGCAAGTACCAACCGGTTCGTCACTGACCATCAATCTTCACTGAGCTCACATTTTCATTTTACATGAACATAGCACAGTGTTAGAATCAGAGCCATGCAACACGTCAAGGTGTTGCCAGTGTAGGTGCAATCACATCATTGCTTTGGTCTTATTAATGTATTTGGGATCTTCTGAATCTGATGCAGGCTGGAATGAGCTCTCCAAAAATATTGGATGATATTTTCCTGCTTTAATTTGCAATTTGAAAGTGCAATTCCTTTTGTCCAGGCGAACCTTCGCTAAAGAACTCACCCTTGTGTATTTTTTCCTGAAACGTACAAACTGCGGCTATGAAACCCCGTAGTGAATCAGTTGGAGTTTATATTTTGGTTATTTTGACATTACAGTAGAACATTCAACATGCTGTGGGGGCGTGACGTTTCCCAATAGCTTAGAGCCACCGATGTTGGAGAGTAACGAGTCACCCCTAGAAAACATTACCCACAAATGACTCAACGGGGATTGGAAGACATTCCTACTTGCAGGCCGCACAGGGACAGCTGGCACTATGGGTGCTCTTTGAATGTTTTGAGTAGCTGAGGCATAATCACCATTTAAGTGCACATATTTCCATAAAGTTGAATGACATTTTCATGAATTGTAATCATTTGGTCATTTTCTGGGTTCTTTCGGTAAAGTCACGTAGAATGGAGATAAAATAATAAAAATAATAACAGAATAAAATTCTCACGACGTTTCGGCCACAACACATTCGGTCATTAATCAGAAAAAAGGTGTGCATGTGTTGTGAGTGTAAGAGTCGGCGGTGCTTGTTGAGTCGCTGCATCGGTGCCTGTCTAGAGATGACCCCCCTCCCACCTGCGCTCCATGGGGCATGGCCAAAATTCGCACCTGAATACACGCAAGGCCTTGCTCATTGATTCTGCTCTAATTGCTTGTCTTGTGCGTTATGATATGTTTGTTATGTTGTGCTAAATTTAATGATGCATGCTTTCTTGGGTTTTCAATCAGGTGCTTATGGTTTTATCTGTTGAAATTAGGAACAGGAATTGTCTCATAACTTATCCCACATTTCGCTTACACAGGAGACGGTGTCTCGATGGGCTTGCACCTGCGTCTATATAAATGTCATTGCTATTGCCGGAGGGTCTTTAGGCAACAGTGTCATGGACCGTTTACTCCTCACCAATGTAAAACACTGGTGGCTGTAGCGCTGTAAACGACCACACAGCAACCAGCTACTCTGCCAACTCCTGGTTGAGAAGGCAGTGGACAGCGCCAGGCTTGCGCCATCAACTGCCTTCTGCTTGACCGGTTGTTACATTTTACTTGTAAAAATAATCTGCATCTCATAATAAATACATTTCCTTGTGCTCGGCTCCTTCTAGACAATTAATTATTATTTGGGATCGTGCTAAGTGAACACAGCACATAATGACCTACACTCACCATCATCACCAATTGTCTATCCACTGCTGGATGAAGGCATCTCCATTTTGTCAACTTCTCTCATGGTCTTGCACTACAATCCATAAACGATGATATCACTCCGTTTCCATGGTGGTTGTACACTTGGGCATGTTCCTCGCTTTGGTTGTCATCCCATCAGCAGTCTCATCTATTGGCTATCGCACTTATAGCGATGTCTTCAGTTTGTCTTTGTTCCCTGGTCCACGTGTTGCTGTATGTGTCTCTCAGTATAATTCTATGCATGCATCTCTCCATGCTTCTTTGCACAATCTTCAGCTTTATTTCATACTCCTTGTCAGTGATGACGTTTCTGACCCATTTTGTATCATGGGTAATATGCACCGGTTTAAAAAGTTTTCCTCAGGAACATGAATATGTTGCATTTCATAATCAAATTCAGTTAATACTGTTGATCCCGATCCACCTTGAGTAACTGGCCTAAACTTAGTCTGCTGTGTGTTCCAGCTGTTTCCCTCCAAACTTGTTTATTTCATTTAACAAACTTTCATTCTTTACTTTTTTATATTTATCTTAGGCCCAATATTATTAAATTATATTATAATTTCACGTTAATAGTTTTTTATTGTCGTCAGTAAATCTGAGATGGTTAATACTTTCTCTATGTTTGTGTCTTCATTGTTAAATCTAATTTCACAATATACATTCGAAAGTTGCAGCATCTTATTGACTGACCTCTCTTCTAATTTGTATTTTGGTTTTCCATTTGCCCCTCAATTTTTTTTTATTTTCATAAACTTGTTCTGCGTGACTTGTTTTGTGCATGTCTTGAGTTCAACTTCGCAGCCTTCTTTGTCAAGTTCATCAATCATGTCCTGTGGTTGTTTTATTGGTTGTTACGATGACTATGGAATCAACAAATGCGAAAGTTAAAGCCATTTTTTTAATCACGGAGGTCAAGGTTTTTGCGGAAGAGCTAATTTTAATAAATTCTAAAGTGAAATCTCGAAAAGGCTGTAGAGACAAATAACATTAGGCACTTCCTTTATTTCTTTTTTAAAAATGCGTCATGTGGGAGGGGCTGTCCCTGTGTGAGCCGGGCACCCCATATTGACTTTTCTTTATTAACGGATTCCATTTGAATGCCATAAAGAATTAAGAAAATTACTTCATAGATCCACTTGGTTTAAATTGTGTTTTATAGTTAAATAACAATTTAAATAATTATTTGTATTCAATGAAATATCATACTATATTAGGAAAAGTTTTGCCCGCTGTTTGGCTGGCTAGAGTGAGGGAAGGGGGGTCATGTCCAACGGACGTACCGGCTGCCGGTATTATTTTTAAACACCAAGAACAGTTTTAGGCGTGGCACTGCCCCTCGTTATTTTGTCACCTTTCCGTGAAATAGTTTTCTTCTCGCACTTCAGCCATATCATTTACTAACATTACCGTGAAAAAATCATGACGTTGGAGACAGGTAAGTCAATTTTTATGTTATTGCTCCAATCCATATTTCACAAATATCAAATGTTGCTGTGAATAGCCTTGGGGCTAGCATATAGCTCTCCCTGACACTTCTGATTTGTATTTTTTTACTCTTTGCTTGCAATATCAATGTAGTGGCTCCTTCTTTGTAAATGGTATTGCTAATCTATGTTTGGTTTTACACACTCTCTAAGTTGTTAATACACATGACTGTTTTCTTTCAGAACCTAGCTGGTGTGTCGGAGGACAGAGCCTTGAAGGACGCTGTTGCTAAGGTATGGCAGTGAAGAGGAGTGAATAAGTGTGAGCAATGGGAGTGAATCTGGGTGTTCGTTATTCATAATTCACCCTTCACGCGAAAATCAACAAAGCACACACCTCCAACATTGCCCAGCAGCAGGAGCAGTAGAAGCCATGCACGACGAGACTCATCGACTCCTGCCTAAACGTGAAACTTGCGTGTTCAATAGACAATCATAAACATACATTCTGGAGCTGTTGCAGTGAATAAAGATACGTTTAATAGTTCTGTAACCTATGTTAGTGCATTTTTTAAATAAAAATTCTGGAGAGGGAGCGTTCTTTATCAAGACAAGACTGCAAAGCTTCAAGATAAATGACAAAATAATCTTAGCTCTTTCGGTAAAGTCACGTTGAAGGGAAACAATAAAATAATAAAATATATATATATATAAAACAATAGACGTTGCTCTCAGGGGCCTGGGTCACATCGCTGCAGACGTAGCAAGATCTGAAATCGCTGCAACCCTCAAAAACGCTAAGATGCCAGCTAGCAACCTCAGCAAAGATGAACGTTTTGAATTATATAAATTAAAAAGAGGGATGACATTGTAGTCCTCTCAGCTGACAAGGGCAATGCTACTGTCATCATGGATAAAATAGAATATAACAACAAAATTAAAGAATTACTCGACGATGGTAGCTATACAATAATAAAAAGAGATCCCACCAACAGCCTCGTCACACAAACCAACAAAATAATTTCTGATTCAACCGCATTAATTGATCAATCTAAACAGTTTTCGTTGAAACCTTCTGCTGCCAGGCCACCAAGATTATACGGCTTACCAAAAATACATAAAGTAGATACACCCCTTCGTCCCATCGTCTCTACTATCAACTCCCCCACCTACAAACTGGCTCGTTTTTTGTCTGAAATCCTGCGTCCTTTCACTGGAAAAACCACCTCTGCTGTTCAAAATTCCACTCACCTGGTATCGACAATCAAGGGTATTTCCCTGTCCCCAGACGACCTGCTTGTCAGTTTTGATGTAGTTTCCTTATGCACCAAAGTTCCTGTACCTGACACCATCGCAATCATTGAAGACTTGGTTCATCAAGGACTAAACACTGAGGTACCCCCCCTGGTGAGACACTGTTTAACCAATACATACTTCACTTGGAATGGAACTTTCTACAAACAGAGGGCACCCCAATGGGCTCCCCCCTATCTCCGGTTATAGCTAACATTTTCATGGAGAAATTTGAGACTGACGCCATCCAGACTGCAACTCTGCGCCCAACCTTATGGAAGAGGTACGTGGATGACACTTTTGTCATCTAGCCACATGGCCGGCCTGCTCTAGACCAATTCTTCGACCACATCAATTCCATACACCCAGCCATCAGATTTACCATGGAAGTCGAAAAAGATGGCAAGCTACCTTTTTTGGATGTCCTAATGAAAAAGAGACCTGATGGTTCAATGAGCTACTCTGTCTACAGGAAAGTTACCCATACGGATGCTTATCTAAAACCGGATTCCCACCACCATCCATCACAGAAGAATTATCTCATCAAGACTCTGTACCATAGAGCCCAATGCATATCCGACCAGGAACACATAGGCAGTGAACTCAAGCACGTACACCAAGCTCTTAAGGCTAATGGTTACACCGACTATATAATCCGCAAAGCTATCACTCAAACCATGAAGAAGGACCCTCTTGAGGAGCCTTTCAAAACCATCACTTTACCCTACATTGCGGGGATCACAAAAAAGATCTCCAAAATCTTGAATAACATAAGATCTAGGTCCGTTTCAACACATTACATAAAATCCGTGATCTGGTTCCGTCTGTAAAAGATGTGATTCCGGACATACAGAACCCTGGTATCTTCAAACTAAGTTGCCTCTGTGGTAGTAGTAACATTGGAGAAACCAAACGCCATGTCTCGGACCGCATTCGTGAACACAAAGCAGACCTTAAACACGGTAGGACCAACACCTTGGCCGTGGCAGATCATTGTTATAATTCAGTAGGCTCACATGACATTGGCTTCTCCAAGACAGAGGTTATTTGTAAGCCATCTCGCTACCATGAGAGATTCGTTCATGAGGCTATCCACATATACAAGCACAGAGACAATTTCAACCGAGAAGATGGATTCTGGCTTAGCAATCATTGGAAGGATTTGATAAACCATTTCAGGTCTTAATTGATTGTTCACGCTTATGGTGGCTTTCAGACAGCATACATTAATTTTTTGTCTCCCCCCTCCTCTTTTCAGAACATAGATGGACTCGTCCTTCTAAATAAACTGCCAAATCGCTGCCCGTGGCGCTAACGTATTTTTAATAAATAAATGGACCGTTTTAAAATAAATAAATAAATGTGAACCGACACTTCTTTCAAATCTTTCTTGCCGTTGGTTTTTCACACCTGATGATGCCCGTTTGCGTTATGGTCGAAACGTCGTGAGAATTTTTTTTATTGTTTTATATATATTTTATTGTTTACCTTCAACGTGACTTTACCGAAAGAGCTAAGAATATGAATTACTGCAGTCACGAAAGCTTTAAATCAAAATAAATGACAAAACTAAAATCATATTCAACAGGCTAACTGAGCAATCGGATAGATATATCATTGAGAGACAAATAGCAGAACACATGGCTCAGGGAACACACGCAAGTGAGAGACATCAAATACATCTTTCAGAAAACTAAGTGGGCTTGGGGAGGACACGTCAAGAAAAGGAATGATTGCTGGTGAATGAGACTAATAATGGAGTGGCAGCCAAAGGATGTAGCATGCCGACAGGATGTCCTGTGTTGAGATGAAGTGATGAGATCAGCTCGCGTGGAGGAGATAGATGGATTGTTTCATTGTGAATTCGGGAGAGATGGCCACAGCTGGCGGAGACCTTCATCCAGCAGTGCATGGTGATGATGATGAAAAATCCTAACATCATTGTTACATTGAACATGATTCCCCGCTTCAACTGGGCCATACGCTGGCTTTAAATCAGGTGTAGTGCTGTGAGTGTGAGGTGAACAGCCGAGGGTGAATGTGCGGTGTGTTTTCCTCTAGACGGCCGCTCTCTGTGAAACCCTGGAGGAGCCTCCTCGTCCGGTGAGTGTTCCTGAGTCCTGGTGACTTGCACAGCGACGTGCGCCACGCAGGAATTCACGTTGTTGGTCCCTGTTAGACGGTACACATGGTGGTGGTGGTGGTGAAACAGCCGGCCACAAGATGCGTGGACACAACCTCGATAGGGTCTTGTTGGTGGGACAAGGAACACCCACGCTTCCTTTCACCATTCGAGTCACAACATCACAACTTTCCCAGTAGATCAGGCGTTGCTTTTTGTAACTGCATCGTGTAAACAAAACGTTAGCATGATGAAGTGAAGTGATATTATATTTGTATACAGAGCATTTTAAAGTAGCGTTGAACGTATTTTGCACTGAAATTTAACATGCTCCTTGCACATTGTGGTTAACTGTGACACTATGTTGTGTTTGTCATTGCGAGTTAAGTTACGATATTGTTACTTTTGTTTCTAGACACAAGATGTTTCAGCACAAATGGAGGTAAGCGTGTTTGCACCACAGGGAAGAAGAGGGAAGCACGACATGCAGGACTGCAGCCTGCATGAGTGAACAACATGTGTGGACTAGCACACATGAACAATCAGCAATCCCCCACACTCACGCCCACCTACCTGCCTTGACTTGGTGTTATTTACGTGTAACTTTGTGCAGACATTTGCATATTCCTTACCATGTTGCAAGCATATACGCGCACTAATCAGATTACAGAGCGTTCATCACCCAGTCGTGTCTGCACAGCTCGTTTCACTGTACGCGCTACATTGAGAACTCGTCCAGCATGAGGGAATGTGGGCGACAGGATCACCGACAAGAGGAGTTCCCTTGGGCTAAATGTAGCTGTCCATACCTACCAGGAGCTTGCCCTTGCCACTGTTGCCCAGCTTTATTTCCATTGAGCTTTCATTGTGGATCTGCCCTGTGCTGTTATAGACTTGTTACACTTAATGCAGACCGGGTTCCGCAAGGTGATGAAAGGGCAGTTGGGCTGGTTTCTCGTTGCCTTCTGCAACATTTTTGTGTTATTACCAGGGCAACTTTCTGCACTTTACAGTCTAATATACTGCACATACCTACGTAAGCCACCAATGGCTGTGTTATTACACTAGTCTTATGGCTCAAGTAAGTTTTAATATTGGTCATGATGGCCTATCCCATAGGGCACCCTTAATGAGTATGGTGAAACGATTAATTGCTTAATTCATCTGATGCTCATGATACATGAAAACATGCGTGTGATAAATTAATTGTATTTAAATGTATTGCAGCCACTAGAGGCAGTACAGTGCATCACAATATAAAAATATTTCTTCTCGAATCAAATCCAACCATCGTGACGATTCTTCAGAATGCGATGGGGCAGAATCATTCCAGGCTCTCACCTGCACAGGAGCGATTCAGAGGCAAGGACCAGATCTGCTCAGTTATAATGGGAGACAACTGCTTAATATTTGTGCATGTCATCGCAAACACCAGCAGTGAGACGACATGACAACTTCCATTTTAACTCCTCATTATAGTTCGCCAGTATTGCTGGTAAGTTATTCTACATCACTACAGTTACTCGGGTTGCCAAACGCAATAGCCCTCAGTAGATGAATTGGTGCAGCATGAAGATTACTTAAGATAACCTCAGAAAATTTCTGAAATGTGTGCTGGCCACCGCATCTTTAAATGCAGTTTAATTTAAGCGTAAAACACTGCAAATAATGTTACTGCAATAGTATAATTTTTAAACGTCACATACATTAAGGCGAAAGAGAAATAAACAACCATACAACGTGATTGCAAAACCTCACAATGCATTGCCTTGTCAGGCCCATGAGAAGAGTATCCTGCGTGTTGACCCACACAGACACGCAACTTTTTCTTAATCCCATCACATTCTACTGCTTTTGCCGCTCATCCGATCTTATGATTCAACGTCATTCTCAAAGTTGCGTCGGATCCCATTATGCACAGATCGTTTACCCCTTGTCATCATGATACACAGTGCAATCCCTTGGTGTTGTAAAGTTGTATATTTCAACAACATAAAAAATGTGCACTGCGTGCAAAAAAACTCAGCTTTATGCATTATACAAAATCACCAGTTCCTGAGGATTTCAACTGTCCAGAGCATTTAAGTGTCATCTTCGTGTAAATGTGGGTTTTCTGTGGGTACTCCGTTTCCTCCTACATGAAGCCAAACACTCATTCATGTGTTTGGTACATGGGCCACGGTCCGGGATTTGTCACTGTTAGCCATGTGTGCAGTATTTGCAAGACAAACACTTTTCTAACGCATACAAGGCATAAATATAATGCCTTTGTCATAGCCTTAGTGCTATAAGATTACCAAGTGTACTTATTGTTATGAATGGCTCTGTTTAACACGTAGGCTTTCGCGACCAATATTTATCATAATAAAGGTTTTTGGGTTAGATCGCGTTATTTATAAATGTGTCGTAACCCTCCACCACCCGACACGGCCAATCAGCAAAAAAGTGTCACGTTGACAAAAGACAAATAGTTCACTACTTTAGCCCACCGGTGTGTTGAAGAGTGAATCCACAACATTTACAGTTTGAGTACGACGTTTCGCTAGTAATTACATCCAGCATGATCGGGCAATTCGCCAGACTGGTAAAGCCCTCGCTTGCTCCCGGTCTTAAATAGAGCCGCAGGGTGACGTCATCATTTAACTCATTTCAGGTGCAGTGATTTGAGGCGGAGGGGGGGTATTGTAATTATATAATCGATTGATAATCAGTCAATGGTTATGATTAGTAATGAGTTGTAGATAGTAATTAGTTGTAATGTGTGTTATTGTGATAATATGCTACGTTAGTAATCCTTTAATTAGTATGTGTTTCCTCTATAAGGAATTGTAATATGTATTATTTAATAATACGCTTCCAAGCCGCACTAAGCCTGTAGCTGTCAGAGCGATTAAAGTTATTTCTATTCCTCTCAATTTCAATGGATTCTCTAATTAGTGTTTGCCAGTAATAATTAGTTTAACACAACACTTCAACGTTATCAAAATCAATTGAGTGTCCTTGTTGACAAGCATGTTCTGCCACTGCCGACAGTTGTGTTTGAGATAATTTAATATTTCTTTGATGTTCTTTTAGTCTTATGCTGATGTTACGTCCCGTCTGTCCAATATAGCTCTGTCCAAACATCCAACTGCGGGACTGTTTTGAAATATAATTTCAATACAGTGATACTTTCCTAGATGAGTTAATAATAATATGAATCCTTGTAACATATCACGGGGAGGGGGGGGGTGATGTAGTGGAGTATTAAGGTGCGTGGTGGAGGCGGCGTGATTGCATGATCACACAGACAGTACGGGTTATCTTGGGTCAGCTTGTAGTGAAGGCAAAAACAGTATGGGTCATGTTAGGGCAGCCAGGTGCAAAGGCTGGGATGATGAGGTAACGGTTGTGCTAATTAAGCCAGAGGACCAGCAACAGTGGTGATTGGCTGGGGCTGTTGTCAAGGGCGAGGAGGCGTCCAGATGTCTGGAGAAAGACAGGTGTTTGAGGACGCGTAGCGTGGAGAGGCACGCGGGCCAATTAATTAGCGGTAATGTGAATGTAGATAAAATGGGGAGACGTACAGAGAGTCGAGGAGCGGGAGTTGGGAGCTGGACGAAGCAAGACGTGGAGTTGGGAGAGCTTGGAGTCAACAGGGGGAATTGAAGTGTGGAGAGTTGAGAGACAGAGTTGAGAGAGAGTTGAGAGACAGAGTTTGAGAGACAGAGTTTGGAAGACAGAGTTGAGAGACAGAGTTTGAGAGACAGAGTTGAGAGACAGAGTTGAGAGACAGAGTTGGAAGGAGAGAGCGTAGCGATAGCGAAGCTGAACAAAGACGAAGTAGTTAGCAGTGGAGTGAGCGTAGCGATAGTGGAGCTGAAAAAGAGAATAGCCAGCAGTGGAGTGAGCATAGCGATAGCGGAGCTGAAGAGAACAGCCAGCAATGGAGTGAGCATAGTGATAGCGGAGCTGAAGACGCTGTGTGCGAAGTCGCTGAGTGCGAAAACGCTGTGTGCGAAGTTGCTGAGTGCGGAGTTGCTGAGCACGGAGTCGCTGAGTGCAGAGTCGCTGAGTGTGAAGCAAGCAAAGTGATTGTGGGGGAGTGGAGAGACAAAGGTGGCGAGCGAGTCGAGTGAAGCACGGCGAGTGAGCCGTGGCGACCTGGATATTGTGGAATGTGGAGGACATGATGAGAATTGTAAATAAAGCGGCGTTCGGAGAAAGACTGAAGTTGTCCGAGTGAAATTGAACACTACATTTGGTGTCAGAGTGACTACGAACCACGCCGAGATGTCGAAGAAGGCGGCCAAGAAGAAGAACGTGCCGGTGGACTCGTCCGACGACAGTAACGACGAGGACGTGCTGCCCGTGTCCGGCCAAGTGGCCGATACTCCTCCGGAGGGGCTTGTCGAACGGGAAATTACAGAACGAGACGGCGGTTCGAGTGAGGCCGAGACCCCGGGACCGTCGGGTGATTGGAGAGTCCTCATAGCCCAGTGGGAGGCCAGGATGGCGACATTGACGGAGGCGTTCAACCGCTTTATGACATCGGACCTCGTACAACCGGCGGTGTCAAGTCGACTAGCAGATGTTGCCGCGGGATCGAAGCGATTGGAGAAATCCGACGACGATGGAGCGCAGCCGTCGGGAACAGCACGGCGACTTCATGTGCAGCAATTCGAGGCCAAAGTTGGTGATTGGACGGCATTTACAAGACGGTTCCGAGCAGCTTATCAATCTCTGGAGTGGACTGAGGATGCCGCGCTGCGGGCACTGCCGACGGCCCTCGATGATGATTCCTTGACGACGTTTAATGGTTTCCCTGCCGCCGTCAGGTCAACGCTGGACTGGGCATTCGCGGCAATGAGAAAGGTGTACGAGCCGCGGTCGGTCGCCAAACATAGATTTCAGCAAAGAAAGCGGGAGGGTACGGAATCCCCTCTTGTGTTCCGCAGCGCGCTGTTGGCCCTCGCTCAAGTAACATACCCAGCGATAGACCAGGAGGCCCTGGATTCCTTGCTGCAGGAGAAGCTTTTGCAGTTGGCGAAGGAGCTACGAGTCGTCCTTTCGCTTCCTGACAGCAACAACGACGACGACATGTCGTCTCTACAGATCACCAGGAACATCAAAGTCAACCTGGACCTCCGCGACGAGCCAGCGGTGGTGGGTGTGCAGCCATTACTGATGAGCGCTGCCGCGTCCGAGAGCGCGGTGACGGTGGATGAGGCGCCGCCGATTGCAGTGGTGGCCGGGGTACCACCCACGGGCATGCTGCAACGTCCCGCGATGTAAGGAGGTGGCACGTAGCGGACGTGCTACGAGTGCGAACGGAGAGGATATCTCGCCCGCGATTGCTGGCGGCGCAGGGGTGGCCTTCCAAGGGCGCCGACCAGCTACAACCGAGGATTCCCCCAGGACCGAGGATTCCGGGTGAATCGCGATACATTCAATACACGGCCG